CTGGCCTGCTGAAAACAGCTGAATAAATTATAACGTTTAAATATTAAAGCAGTTTAATTAATTTATTATTTAATTTTATAAGTGTGCATCTACATTGAAACTAATCTTGAAACAGTGGATGTGGTATAATCTGTCAGGGATTGGAGGATTTCTGGGCTGAAAGCTTCATGGACAGAGAAATAGAGAGCTACTGAGTGGGCTGTGGGCTGGAAATCTCTGTACAACATGTTCAAGTCTTTGCAGCACACTGTAAAACAATGTCCACACAGGAAGACCCTTACATTCAGTTCTTGGTCAGCTTAATGGGAAAAAGTGCAGATTATTCATGATGCCCTTTTACTCTCTTGGTCTTACCTGGGAGCTGCTTTTGACTCTGTATTGCTATTTTTGTGTTGTTTGTCAATCAGCACACCTGATCTGTATAATTTGTATACCAGGATGTTCCAGCTGTATGCGGATGGTAATGTATTTGCATAGTTCTTAATAGAATTGACAGCTTGTTGAGGCAGTGCAAACCCTGATGTCAAATATTTAGCTATCATGTGTCATAACCATTATACAGCACCATAAGTTTGGTAATAGTATTCTCAGTATTTCCTTTACATGGAAGTGTCACTAAGGTTACATCGTAGTTGTCTTTAAGGTCCTCAACTGTCATTTTGTCAGGCTTTATTTGCAGTTTTTATGAGCAGCGTGCAGGAGAGAAGCAATCACGTGACTACGTCTGGGCTTAGTTGTGACTGCTCCTTATTCTTTGGAAGACAGTGTGCTATACTGGTTGGCATTATATCACTGTGTTACATAGATTGGTAATACAAGAAAAGCCTAGACTGCAAATAAGGTGCTGTTGGCATTTTGGCAGCCATATTTAATAAATATTTGGTGTGGACTTTGGCCTATTTGTGTCTTTGCAAACATTTTAACTGCACAACAGAACTACAGAAACTGGGTACCTTTGAAAAGGAAAGCAGTTAGATCAACTTTTAAATTCAAAGATTACTGTCATGGATGAAGAGTGTTCTTCGTGTGGATTTCTCTGTTGCAACATATTTACTTAGGGCAAAGCAGGAAGTACTTCCCTCTGTGCTTTTTAATGAAGACTTTATATATCTGAATGAACATTTTAGCTGCTGTTGTTCCTATTTTTCAGTGTTCTGTCACTTTTTTCCCTGTAAATAGATAATTTTTCTAAGTTACCTTGAACTCTTATGCAAATTGAGTGAAGCAGGATCCTGCAGGTCCCTGAACTTCTTAAATAAACAAAGTCCTACAGAGCCAGTGAGCACTATGACTCTCAATCCGGTATGGCAGAATGGAGTATGGTGCATCATATTTGTGTCCATTTTAATTTGAGTTCCTACAGTAATTCAGTCTTATGGGAGTAGGCGGCCACTTGGGACGGTTTTGACACATGAGGTAACAGCTTGCACACACATTCCAAGTTCAACTGCAACTTTCCAAGGGTTTGTCTGTGCCAGTAAGTGGGTGTGTGCACTGGCATGCAACCAGTCTTTATCAGACAATAAAAATGCTTTAGAGATCTTAAGAGTTGAAATAACACAACACTTGCAAGGTTTCTGCCATTGTATTACAAGTCAGATGACTAGATAAGAAAACTGAAATATTCTTTTACCTCATGAACACAGATTGTAACTCAGACAAGGGAGGCCTACAGTTCTTTTGTTGTTTGGGATTCTTTTGTGAGCTCTTGGATGAGTTGACAATAGACTCTTATTTTGATTGGCTGGCCACTCCTGGGAATGTTCACCTCTGTTCCAGGTTTGCTCCATTTATGGAGAATGGCTCTCACCATGGCTTGTTGCCGTCCCAAAGTGTAAAAATGGCTTTGTAGCCCTTTTTACACTGATAAATGTCAATAACATTGTTCTTGAGTCTCTTTAGATCATAGCAGTAGCAGAATAAGTTTTTTGGCATTATTTAGCACAGAAGATTTGGCGTGATTTTCATCGGTGCAACACAACTCTGTTACTTAACCAAAAAAATCTATTTTCCTTACAAATGTAAAACATACTGTGAATAGGCATTGTTACAGTAAACAAATAATCAACCAAACACAAATTACTTACTTTTTGTGCCAAGTTATATAAGTGATTTCTTGAATCAGTAGGTTAACAGTCAACAGCTCTTGAATGAGTTGACAATAGACTCTTATTTTGGTTGGCTGGCCACTCCTGGGAATGTTCACCACTGTTTTATTTTTAATTTTATTTCAGAATATGTGCTTTCTTTGGTCAATATAATGGCAGTGAGAGATATTTCAAAAAAGAAAAATCTCTTTAAGAAAGCAACTTAACAATGTGTTACACTTCCTTTTCTTTTAACGTGTTGTGAACTTGGGAAGCTTGGTGTATAGGTTGCATGTATCGCCCACTTAGCTGTTTAGCACTGCCTTTGCATATTATTGATTTTGCATAAAAAGAAAGTCCTGCTTCAATATTTATTGAAAAATACATTACATTCAGAATTATTTGTATTTATTGAATAGCATAAAGACCGATATATTTCAGAAATAAGCGGTTATCTCTTTGTACATCTTCTAACATTTGGAGATGAGTTCACTGTCACGTTCAGTGATTGATATGACTGGGTTTTGAACTGTACACAGATTTCAAGCTAGATTCTCCAACTCCTCTTTAGCGTGTTTTTTAAAGATGCGTTCAAATTTTTGTATAAGACCATTAGGGATGGGTATCGAAAGCCGGTTCTTGTTGAGAACCGGTTCCCACTGTTTCAATTCCTTGGAATTGTTTGCAATTTTTGCAAACGATTCCCTTATCGATTCCCCCCCGAATGACGTCACCACGTTGCGGAGCGTCATTTACCTGGCAGGAAACATGGCGGCTCAAACGCTCAAAAGTTTGGTTATACTTTACGAGAACGGATGACAACAGGGCAACTTGCAATACTTGCAAGTAGATATTTCATTTAAGATACACACGATAACCTTAAATGAATGTCATGTTTTTAATTCCGCTCCAGACTCGTGAATCTCAACTCAGCAGCAGCGGTAACGTTTGCACGTCCTCTCCCGTTAATGCGGCAGGTAAATAATCAACTAACAGTGCATATTATGTTAGCGAGATCTGCCTTATTACAAAACCTGCCATTACTGTGCATTTAGGGGACCATGATGAGAGAGACAGGCAGAGTCTGGCTGGCTCAGATGCTGGCAGTTCTCGCTGCAGTCTACCGGTAGCGTCTCCTTTCAGGCCAGGATAGACGAATGTCACCGAGCAGTGACTAAGTTTGTGGTAAAAGGCTTGAACCCATTTGCCACAGCAGATGCCCCCGACATTCGGTAAGTGAATGTGTTTAATTGTAGGCAGGGACATTACTGGATATTCTTGTGTAATTGCTACAGAATCATTTATGTTATTCTTTGTTATTGCTACAGAAGAATATTTATTTTATTATTTTACATTTACAATTTTTTTTCCTGGGGACCCTGTGACACCCCATTGAAGAGCTGTAGGCTGTGGATCTCTTAAGATGTCACTGTTGGGTTTGTAAGGCCATGTTACTCCTAAATTTCTATCTTGTTCAAAGAGAAGATATAAAACAAAGTTCTAAGCTAATCGACCTTTAGGCTCTCCTTTTTAAAAAAAAAAAAGAATCGATAAGAGATTCGATAAAGAATCGAATTGTTAAACAGAATCGAAAATGGAATCGGAATCGTGAAAATCTTATCAATACCCATCCCTAAAGACCATGCAGCTTTCAGCTTCACCTATTGATCTTCAGTCAGCTTGGACCCAGGCAAAGCAGGATGCTTTACAAATGGTATAATATTTGCGTGTTTGCATGTTAAAGTGTTAGCTGTTGATGCAAGGACGAGCTGTTTCCTGATATTGTGATTTTTCACTACATAAACATATCTGTTTTCATTGCTTCCTTAAAGCCGTTTTAAGAGATGCAGTGCATAGTGACGTTTCTGTCAGTTGTGAAATGTCCTTCATTCATGACTTTATTCAGACATCCCCACATTTGCCTTCTCTCATAATTCTCTCTCAAGTCTCATGCCCTATAGGGAGAATGGTCAAAACCTGTCTGAACATAAGAATTGCCTGAGTTGCACACGTCTGCTTACAAAAGGTTAATAATTAGACCCACCACTGAATGTAACCTTTCCCTACTGGTCAGTTACAAGTCGAGGTTGTATTTGTATCCAGCTATTTGACTTTCAGCTTTATAGGATTAATAGCGTGCTGCTTTAAATGTGAATGTTGCATGTTTTTAGGCACATGGCCCAGCACTGATGACCTCGTTAATTATTCAGAGAGAGAGAGAGAGAGAGAGAGAGAGAGAGAGAGAGAAAGGATCGTTAGGGCCTAACGGTAAATTTCAATCTGTTTTTCTTCTTCTACTGACATAGGTGAGCTGTGACACAGCTGTGACATAGACTAAAAGATTAGTTGTCAAATAATTTGTTAAACATAATGTTGTAGTGTTTTTTTTTTTTTAAATTCTTTGTATTTTTTTTTGCAAAAGTAAAAATATATTTAAAGTTAATATGTTTATATGTATAAATTGAAAGTCAGTATTTGCAGTAGTGGTTATTGTATCAATATATTGTGCATAAATGTTTTCCTGTAACTAGCCCTACTATGACCCCTTTGATTATTCATTTAAATTGACTTAGTTAATGTAGTTCAATTCTGTTTGTGCAGTTCAATTCAGTTTCATGCTGACAGCAGATTTGGTTTGATAATCACTGAATTAATTGGAGTCAAATTCTTGCACCTTTTAAATGTACAGTGGCAGCTAAACACTATTTAAAGCTGCTTTAATAATTTTTGAAATTATTAGTAAATCATTACTATGTGTTTTCATTTTAGTTTAACGTCGCATAGACGTTTTTTTTCTTTCTTTTTTTTAAACAGGGTCATGAAAAACAGCACTTAACAATTTCATGTCTATTACTGCAATAGGGAATTACTTTATTTTGTCATAATAACTAGAGGCATATGATATAGAGTATGAAGTGCCAAGCCTTTCTTCTTCATTGTTTGCTGTCACATACTGGGTGAATCATTGGCATTATTTCAATTGAACCCTACCCTCGTCTCCTATAGCTCCTCCCCCAGCTCTATGTCTGTGTCGGGCTCCCTCTCTCACTTCCTTTCTCTCCTGCTGTGTGCTGGGTTGCGCATGCCCTCCCTTCGTTCCTCAATACGTCCATGATAACGGCAAAAACAAATCCTTGGATAATAAGAATATAATAATAACAATCAAAGATTG